ATAAATAAATAAATAAATCTTTAAAAAAAAATAGTGAATTCATTATTACAGAGGTTCTGGTGGTGATTATCTATTTTCATTACTCATTCTACATTTATTAATTGGAATTCTTTTGTTAGGAAAGTTTGTCTTTTCCCATTTTAAAATTGATTCAATCATGTATTTAAATCAGTATGGATTTCAGGGCATTTATTTAATTCGTTTGGACTATAATCCAATACTATTGCTATTCATTTTGTTCTCAAATTTTTTTTTTTAGATTTATTTTATTTGTTTATGCATACAAAGCTGGGGTATAGGCCAGAGGGTGTGGTGTGTGTGTGTGAGAGAGAGAGGACTCACCAGAGATAGAATGGGGAGCAGAACAGGCAGATTGACTGAAATACACTGCTGAGGGGAGCAGCAGGCGAGCCAAGAGAGGTCTGCTGTGCCATGTGGGTCACCTCACTGGCCGGATCTCGAACTTGTGCTGCAGTAGCTACAGATAGTTTCATAGTGCTGAGACTTAACCCCTTGTGCCAACAGGGAGGCCCCTCAAATTGTTCTTACTTTGGTCAGAGGGAGTTCTCTTAGGCCTGTTTCTGTGTCCTTTGATATTTTTTTAAAAAGCACTTTCTGGCATTACAAGATGCCACAGGATCATTTTGTATGTTGTCTGTTCCAACCCTAGAAGTATCCATGTTTTCCAAGGAGTCGTAGTTCCTCATATTGGAAAATGGTATTTGTTTTAAAGATTTATTTATTTATGCATACAAGAACTGGGGTACAGGCCACAGGTGTGGGGGGTGAGGGATTCACCAGAGACAAAGTGGGGAACAGAACAGGCAGATTGACTGAAATACACTGCTGAGGGGAGCAGCAGGCGAGACAGGACAGGTCTACTTTGCCATGTAGGTCTCCTCCCTGGCTGGGGATTGAACTGGTGCTGCAGAAGCATTGGACAACTTTATAGGTTACCTGTTAAGCCCTTGTGCCACCAGTGAGGCCCCTGGAAAATGGTATTTAGAGGCTAGGATCGGAGTGCAATGTGCTCATTGCTACTGGGGTGTCATTGCTTCTGGGTCCTCAGTAGACTAATAAGTGTATGTGTGTATGCTAATATATATATATATATATATATATATATACTCATAACTATATTTTTGTATCTATCTATTGAGAAAAACATTTCATATTGATAACTCCAGTCCAGCACCATATTGCTTATTTGTAACTCAACATTAGCATATAACTAGCTACAGAATTTGTGAGAAACAAATTTACTGACTAAAGTATACTGTTTGAAGCAAAAACAAAGAGAAACCCCACCAACTGGGAGAACATATTTGCATACAACACTAATGATGAAGGACTGATCACAAAAATCTACAAAGAGCTGATGAGACTCAACAAAAACAAAGAAAATAATCCAGTCAAAAAATGGGCAGAAGAGCTAAAGAGGAAATGCAAATGGCCAACAGGCATATGAAAAAATGTTCAACATCACTTGTAATCAGGGAAATGCAAATCAAAACTACCATGAGATACCATCTTACACCAGTGAGAATGGCACATATTAAAAAAACTAGCAACAACAAATGTTGGCGAGGATGTGGAGAAAAAGGAACTCTTCTGCACTGCTGGTGGGAGTGCAAACTGGTCCAACCACTATGGAGAGCTGTGTGGAGATTTCTGGACCTACTAAACATAGAGCTTCCATATGATCCAGCAATTCCACTCCTAGGTATTGACCCAAAGGACACAGAAACATCAATTCCAAAGAGCACCTGCACCCCTATGTTTATAGCAGCACTGTTTACAATAGCTAAGCTTTGGAGACAACCCAAATGCCCAAAAATAGATGACAGGATCAAGAAGATGTGGTACATATACACCATGGAATATTACTCAGCATTCAAAAAGGATAAACACATGCAATTTGCAGCAACATGGATGGCACTGGAAGGGATCATGCTCAGCGAAATAAGCCAGAAAGAAGAAGAAAAATACCGGATGGTCTCACTCATAGCAGGAATCTAGAAAACTTAAATAAGGGACCAGGAAAAAGAATAACTATAAGAAAGAAAATATCAAAATCAACAAACAACTATGAACCAGAGACAATCTATGGGGGGGTGGGGGGCAGGGAAAGGAGGGATTGGGGTCAAAATAAGGGGATTGTAATTGTATGGGGAATATAAAAATAAAATTTAAATTTAAAAAACCTCAATTAAAAAAAGATTAAAAAAAATAAAGTATACTGTTTGAGTATGGTTCAGACAATGTTGGAGGGGGAATCCTCATAAGCTAAGCAAACAATACTTATGTTGTGACTTGGAGTTGGCCCTTAGGTCTCCAGTTTGAAGCCCTCAAAATTCATTTTTTTTGCATTTGGGGCTGAGACAGGAGAGGTCTGCTGCACCATGTGGGTCTCCTCCCTGGCCGGGGATGGAACTCATGCTGCCGTAGCTGGGAAAGGTGCCAGTTTGCACCCCCTTGCACTACATTCATCCATCCATGGGCGACCCTCCTGCAGAACTCTGATTCTCTGAATGGCTAGGAGTGTGAGGAGACCATGGAGGCATTTTGCCCTTTTAGAGATAAAGACCTAGCTCAGTGAGAGTGGGCACAGATCAGGTGGGGCAGTCCCTGTGGGCGAGGGCTCTGGCAGCAGAACCTGCTAGGCAGGTGCTGGCCCAGGCATGCATCTGGCAGAAGGCTGTGGTAGGAGCTCAGAGGCCAGGGATGCCTTTCCCCTGGGAAGAGACTGAGTTTGGCTGGGGGTGGGGAGGGAGTGGGTTGGAGTGGTTGTGGTGCCTGGGGCTGATAGGGCTTAAACTGGGCCCCCTGATTCTTCTGCAGGGATACAGCAGTGGCCAAGAGTACCCAAGCGAACATTTACTGAGCTCTCCATGTATATCTCTCCTCTGTTCTAATTGTTCCTTTTATCTGTAACATCCTCCCCTCCTGGTGGCCGCTGTTATTCCCTCCATTTTATAGATGAGGCTACCATGGCTCAGAGTGGGTATTGCATGCCCAGAGTTGTAGACCACAATGTAGCTGAGCCTGCTTCCAGATTCAGTGTCCCTTAACCTTTGCACAATGTCTGGCTAGAGCGCTGTGAGTCTATGGCAGAAACACACAATAGGACAGATGAATGAATAAACAATTTAAGGTAATTTCTTATGGGGCCAACAAAATTGGGGAGGAGGACAGATCAAGGAAGGCCTCTCTGAGGAGGTGGCCAGCTGGCAAGGGTGTCCTAGGCAGATTGATCCCCCAAGTACAAATGTCCTGAAGTGTGTGAGGAATAGGCCAGTGAGGCTGGAAGGGATTTAGGTAGGCGGAGAATAGAGCAATAAGGTGGAGGGCAGTAAGGACTTGGGCATTTACTCGGAGTGATATAAGGAGCCATAATAGAGTTTGGAGCAGGAGAGGGACCTGATCTGAGATTTAAGAACAGTGGTCCCCTCATGTAGAATCATTGCTAAGGATGAAGATATCAAGGTATGAAGGTATGCCAGAGCCTGAGCCCCAGGATAGCTAGTCTATGGTAAAGAGGCACAGGGAGGTGGCAGAAGTTTGGGATGCAGGGCACAGGACCCACTGCCACCCTACTGGGTCCTCCAGAGGTGAGACTGTCACCTGGGAAGTGTTAAGCAGCCACCTTCCCTCCCTGGGAAAGGGTCATTTATCTAGTGCCGGCTGTGTGCCAGGAGTAGTCTTGCTGAGTTTGGGGATCACCAGGGGACATCCTAGCAGACACAGCTTGTATCTCATTTGCTCACTCGGAGGATACTTGAGGAACACTCAGACTGCATCTCAGTGTTGCTCACAACAGATGAAAGTCCCTGCTCCTGTAGGACTGACAGTCTAGAAACACTATAAAATGAGCAAATCACATGGCTGTGGGATGCTGGAACCTAAGTGAATAACCCCCTGCCCCAGGTTGGCCCTACTGGCTGTAATGCTGGATACATTTCTTTGATGGGTAGAAGCAGCAAAAGTGGTTCTGTATCCCCCAGAACAGAGTGGGCAGAAGCCACTGGATCTCCAAGGGGCAGTGCAACCTGGCCTGGCTGCCCCTTGGGGTCCTTCCCCAAGTGGTACTCCATGATCCACCCCTATCCCTAGCCTCCAGTTCATAGTCCCTGGGACACCCTCACCCCATAGGTGGCTAGCAGAGGTTGAGCAAGCCAGAGGGCAAGGCAGGATCCTGGTGAAGGTGGTATCAGTCAGGCCCAGACCCCATTCCTGTTTGTGGCGCCTTTTCTGAGGAGGGGGAGCTGGGCTTAGCCAGTAAGCTCCTGGGAATGGGGAGGTGGAGACTGCTCTTCGGGCTTTGGAAGAGCAGAGGCCGGGAGAGGTGTGGAGAGCTACACTGAAAGACTCAGCAACTGAGAGAGGCATTCATTCATTCGCTCACTAAGGGTACTTAGCGGATGTTCACACCAAACAAGAATACCTGCTCCCGTGGGAGTGACAGCCCAGAAACACTACACAATGAGCAAATCACATTGTCCAGAGGGATAAGGGTGGGGGAACGGGAGAATCCCGGGAGCAAACGAGTCAGGGCCTCTTTATCTGGGTGCTCCTCCCCTACTCTTCCCAAGCCAAGGGTGGGAGCCAGGGGAAAGAGGGAGGGACCTGCTCCTGGGAACCGCTGGGACATATTTGCTAAGTTGAGGAGGAGGAGGGGACTCAGGCTACCTCCGCCCCTGCGAAAGACCCTCGTGGTCCCTTTGCCCTCCATTCACCCTTGGGCTGCAGCCCAGTGAGCACCTTCTGAGGGTACGCCGAAAACTGGGAAATACCAATGTCCAGGATCCTGAGAATTGGCAGGACCCCTCGGGGGTGTGGGGGTGGAGGTAAGGGAGGAGAGGCTGAGGCCTGGCCCTCCCACAGCGACGGGCGTCGCTGGGAGAGCAGCCCGGAGGGGGGGAGCCGAGGGCTCGCCGGTGCCAGTCGCCGCCGGGGCGCGCTCCGGTGCTGCGTCGGGTGGCACAGGCTGGCAGCCACGGGCTGGGTGCCCGCGCCCCAAGGGGAGGGGGCAAAGGCTGGCTACCCCCAGAGGTCCGAGTTGCGGACCCGCCCCTTTGCCTGGCAGCTCGAGTCTGGCTCCCCACCGGAGTAGCGTCCATTCACTGGGCTCAAGGCTGCGCGACTTCAGGGACGCACAACCAGGGCGCTGGGGTGAGTTTACAACTCCGGGTTCTTGGAGGCGCGGGGGAGGGGTTTGCCCCAGCCTCTACCTCAGTCCTCTTCCTTGGGTTTCCCAGACCTTTTCTGGAAGTCTCTAGGAAGAGAAGGGAAAGTCGGCGATTCTGGGGGCTAGGCCCCGGATCCGGTAAGGGATGAGGTCCCCGAGGATCCCCCGGCCTCCAGGCGGTGCCACTAAGAGTTTTGCTGCTTGTGTTGAGGTGGGGCTGGCAGAGACTGCGAGCCTCTGCTCGAAGTCCCCACCAGAGAGTGTAAGCCTTGCTTGGTGATTTGATTCTCCAGCCGGTGTCTTCCCTTAGGTCTGTGCTTGTGCACGTTTTCCTGTGCGCAGCTGAAGACTTCTGGGATGCACGCATTTGTTCCTTCCAGGCCTGATGAAGTCCATGACCCTCCTAGCCCTAGGTTTTCTCATCTTTTTAGTGAGCCCAATTGGGGAAAAGTAGAAAGTTGTCAGGGGATTAAAGGGCAGAATGGCAAACAGCAAGTATTATTATACTTTAATGACATGCGTGCCCCTTTGCAAGAACCTGTTTGTGCGATGTGGATCCTATCAGCTGCCCTCTGGCTAGGTCTCAAGGGGGTGATATGGTGGATGAAGGGGCTTTGGTAGGAAACATCGAGGTATGTGAGACTTTGGACACCAGTCAGGATATGGGTGAAGGTTGTGAAATTATGGCTTGTATGACTGGATGTGAGACCCCATCAGCCTGTGACTGAATTTCTGTGTTTGTGTGTCTCTGCCTGTGCCATTCTGTGTGTGTGACACATGTATTTGCTTGTTTCCCTGATGGAGTGTTGTGTATTTTTGTCATTGCTTGTGACTATATGTGTACATGCTCTTGTCAGTGAGTCTCTGTATTTGTGTGTCCCTTTCTCTGTGCGGTTGTATTTCTATGTATTCTTGTATGTTTCCAATTGAATGTACCTCTGGAGACCCCTGCATGTGTGTGAATCACTAATGTCTTTTTTTTTTTAATAGAGGCATGTTTTATTTATTTATTTGTTTGTTTGTTTTGTTTATGCAAGCACTGGGTACAGTCAGAAGTGTGGGAGGGTGAGAGAATTCACCAGAGCCAGAGCGGGGAGCAGAGCAGGCAGAAGGACCGAAGTACACTGCTGAGGGGAGCAGCGGGTGGCAGGAGAGGTCTGCGGGCCACGTGGGACCCTCCTCCAGTGGCCCGGGAGCAGCCGGGGATCAAACTGGAGCGAGCCGCAGAGGCCACTGGCAGCTTCGCAACCCAGCGCTCAACCGCTGCGCCACCGGAGAGGCCCACTAATGTCTTTTTTTGTGTGAACTGCTAGTGTCTTTTTTCTGTGGGACAGTTTGGCACTCTGTTCCCTCCTTATATTATTTGGGTGTATTTTGGTCAGCCTATCTCCATGGACACCCCCCTTCCATGCTGAATTCCCTCTGGGCTCCAGTGTGCATAAGGGGTGGTAGGCAGGGAGTTAGGGCCTAAGGTTTGAGCTCCCCCCACCCCTGCCCCCACCAGCCAAGAGCCTTGGACAGTCTGACAGGGAATGCTGAGTCTGACACTCTGCCCGACTTCTCCGCAGCCTTGCCGTGGCGGCCCATGGAGTCGGGGCTGCTGCGGCCTGCGCCAGTGAGCGAGGTCATCGTTCTGCATTACAACTACACGGGCAAGCTCAGAGGTGCCCGATACCAGCCAGGAGCCGGGCTGCGAGCTGACGCGGTGGTGTGCCTGGCCGTGTGCGCTTTCATCGTGCTGGAGAACTTGGCAGTGCTGTTCGTGCTGGGTCGTCACCCGCGCTTCCATGCGCCCATGTTCCTGCTCTGGGGCAGCCTCACGCTGTCCGACTTGCTGGCAGGCGCCGCCTATGCCGCCAACATCCTGCTGTCTGGGCCACTCACCTTGCGCTTGTCGCCTGCTCTCTGGTTCGCGCGTGAGGGAGGTGTCTTCGTCGCGCTCGCTGCATCGGTGCTGAGCCTCCTGGCCATCGCGCTGGAGCGCCGCTTCACCATGGCGCGCCGAGGACCCGCGCCGGCTGCTCGTCGGGGACGCACGCTGGCCCTGGCTGTCGCCGCCTGGGGTGTGTCACTGCTCCTTGGGCTACTCCCGGCTCTGGGCTGGAACTGTCTGGGCCGCCTAGACACCTGCTCCACCGTCCTGCCCCTCTACGCCAAAGCCTACGTGCTCTTCTGCGTCCTAGCCTTCGTCTGCATTCTGGCAGCCATCTGTGCGCTCTACGCTCGCATCTACTGCCAGGTGCGGGCCAACGCGCGACGCCTGAAAGCGCGCCCGGGAACTGGCAGCGGCTTCTCCTCCCGCCTACATCGCACACCGCGCTCTTTGGCGCTTTTGCGCACGCTCAGCGTGGTACTCTTGGCCTTTGTGGCGTGTTGGGGGCCCCTCTTCCTGCTACTGTTGCTCGATGTGGCCTGTCCCGCGCGCGCCTGCCCGGTGCTCCTGCAGGCTGACCCTTTCTTGGGCCTGGCCATGGCCAACTCGCTTCTGAACCCCATCATCTACACGCTGACTAACCGCGACCTGCGCCACGCGCTCCTTCGCCTCGTCTGCTGCGGTCGCCATCCCTGCTACAGAGTCTCTGGTGCCTCCCGGCGGTCCGGCACCGCCGCTGGGGCTTCACGTGGCCTGCACCGTTGGCTACCCCCCGGCCTCGGCCTAGACGGCAGCTCCAGCCGTTCCGAGCGCTCGTCACCTCAGAGAGACGGATTGGACACGAGCGGTGACACAGCAGCACCTGGTGCTCTGACAACTGCCCGGACCCTGGTTCCTGCGCCTGCCGCAGACTGACGCCTTCTGACTCTCTGCTACGCTCCTCAGAGCTGTTTTGCAGAATTTTTCTTTTTATATGAAGGGATTTGTAGGAAAAGCAGACAAAAGACAGTGGAGGCAGAAGAGACACGGGGAAACATATTTTATTGACGCTAAACTCCATAACAGTGAATAGACAAAAATCCTGACCTTGTGGAATTCACGTTCTGAATTCCAGAGGCAATAATGAGAGATGCAGATAATTTCAGTGACAATACAATGATGTGATAATGGTCAAGAGAGGCCTTTCTTTTATTATTATTATTATTTATTTATTTATTTATACAAGCACTGTGTACAGTCGGAAGCATGGAGGGTGAGAGAGTTCACCAGAGCCAGAGCGGGGAGCAGAGCAGGCAGAAGGACCGAAGTACACTGCTGAGGGGAGCAGCGGGCGGCAGGAGAGGTCTGCGCGCCATGTGGGACCCTCCTCTGGTGGCTGGGGAACAGCCGGGGATCCAACCGGCGCTGCAGAGGCTGCGGGCAGCTTCGCAACCCAGCGCTCAACCGCTGCGCCACCGGGGAGGCCCAAGAGATGCCTTTCTGAGGTGGTTACTTGTGGTATGAATCAAGACCTATCACACTGTCCTAGGAATCCCTGAAGGAAGGTCATTTTAGGATGAGCTTACAGTAGGTGCAATGGCTCTAAGGCAAGAATGTTTGGCCCTAAATTCTATAAAAAGCATGGATCCCCTGTGGGTAGAAAACAAGGCCTGGAAATGACTGGGCATATGGTGTTCTTCCTTGTGGGCCCAGGGAAGGACTTTTCTGAATGAGGTGGGAGTCATGGAGGGTTCTAGACGGAGGAGGGACTTGACCTGTTTCAGACTTTCACTGATGCCTCTGGTCTTACAAAGTAGGGGCAAAGATGGAAGAACAAGATTAAAAGCGGCTGCACTGACCCAGGAAGGGGATGACTAGGACTCAGCCATGAGGATTCTGGATACATTCTGAAGGCAGTGAACAGGGGAATTGAGTCTGGGAATGAGGCAAGGAAAGAATAGCTAAAGAACAACTCTTTAGAGAAGAGGGCAACAAAGACAGGGCACCCTAAAATTTGACTCTGGGAGACTCATCTAAATTCTTACATATAACAAGATTTCTTTCAGTGTGATGTTAGATCCTTCATAAAAATATAATAAATTAATAAGAGCAATTATAGCTTATTGTGCCTGGTTAGTCACCCCCACTGGTAACTCAGGATATGCTTATTTCTACTCTTAGGGGCAACAAGCATTTGACAGATAAGGAAACTCCAAGCAGTGAGTATTTTGCCACAGTGTCTGAACCCAGATAGTAGGCCAGGTTGTCAGGCTCCTAGATCCTGGGAGGCTCGGGGCAATTGTCTGGCTCCTTAGGAGGGGTCTGGCAGCAGTAGGAGACTCCCTCCCCGTCAGGGACTCAGGGGTCTGCATTCTCTGCGGGGGTGAGGGAGCTATACGAGGGTCCCATTTATGCACATAAAAGGCTCCAGACACTCTGGCTACGGCAACCAGCTGTCCCTAGGGACATTCTTTTCTCTTGTGCTTCCGGGCATTAGTGGGGGGAGGGAAAGCGGGGCTGGTGGACCCTTCAGACTCCGAGTGCGCGCGCCACCTTTCGGGAGACTGCGGAAATGCACCCAGCGGCAAAGGTGTTTTGGGTGGTCACCAATCCATCTTAGGGGCCTGAACCTCCACCCATCACGCTCAGGTTGTCCCTGTAGGCCATAACCATGGGAAGCCAACTTATTTCCTGTAAAACAAACACACTCAAGCCTGGGATCACAGTTCCAGGATGTTTCCATTACTGGACCCAATTCCCCACCAGGCCTGGTTTCCCTACCCCCAAACTTCTATCTTCCAGAAGAACCTGAGACACCACTCCATTGTCACTGGTGTGATGGTGTGATGATAGGAAATCTATTTGCTTATTCACATTATCAAGAAGTACTGGTTACCTTTCCGGGATGCAATCACTATGGAAATTTCTTTTTTTTAAAGATTTATTTATTCATACAAGAACTGGGGTACAGGTCAGAGGCGCGGGAGGGTGAGAGAATTCACCAGAAAGAGTGGGGAGCAGAACAGGCAGACGGACCAAAGCCTGCTGAGGGGAGCAGCAGGTGAGATAGGAGAGGTCTGAGGCACCATGTGGGTTTCTCCCTGGCCAGCTGGGAATGGAACTTGTGTTGCAGAGGCTGCAGACATCTTCACAGCACAACCCTCAGCCCTGCTGCACCACGAGGGAGGACATTTCCAGAGCTATTCTATAGATAAATAGCTGAAATGTGAAAGGTCCATGCAGGAGGCTGGAATGCAAAAACCCACCAGGAAGCCCACCTGGGAACAGGAATGCGGACGCCTGCCTAGAGAATTCAGACAATGAAACTTCCCACTCCCTACAAATCTTTTCTCAGACTAAGAAATTCCTCCCCCCCTACAAAATCTTTTTGCGCCCTACAAACTTTTTCCTGCCTTAGAAACCCAGTTTCCCACCTGACCTCTCCTCACCCTATAAAAGCCTGCCTTCCCTGACAACGTGCGCGGCTTCACTGACCCCTACCTTGGGTCAGTGAGGTCCGCCTGTGGCACAATAAATTTTCCCTTCCTTTGAGAAATTTAGCCTGGCTCTCCTTTTCTTTATCATTCAGAACCTTTCAAAATGTAAATACATTGTTTCTTCTTTTATGAAATGTTAGCACTGCTCTGCATCTTGCTTTGTCCACTTTATAGTATATCTTGGAAATGATCTTGAATTCCACTTTTTGTAGTGTCTTGCTAACAAAAAACAAAGACCAGGTGACTAATAACAGAAAATTATTTCCCACAGTTCTGGAGGCTAGAGGTCTGAAATCAGGGTGCCAGCAAGGCCGGTTTCTAGCGAAGGCTTGCTTCTTGGTTTGCAGAGGACCACGTTCATGTTGTGTCCTCCCAGTGAAGAGAGAAAAGAGCACTAATACCATCAAGGACCCTCACCCCCTTGACTCATCTAAACCCAATTACCAACCAAAAGCCCCATCTCCAACACCTTGGGGGTGGAGCTTCAACATGACTTACAGGGAAACAAAATTCAGTCCATAGCACTTTGTTGTTGTTATAGTTAAAAAAAAAAAAAAAAAAAAAAGACGGGGGCCTCCCTGGTAGCAGAGGGGTTAAGATGCAACCTATGAAGCTATCCGCAGCCTTTGCAGCATGAGTTCAATCCCCCTGCCAGCCAGGGAGCAACCCATATGGCTCAGCAGACCTCTCCTGCCTCACCTGCTGCTCCCCTCAGCAGTGTGTTTAAGTCCATCTGCCTCATCTGCTCCCCGCTCTGTCTCTGGTGAATCCTCTCACCCCCTGCACCTCTGGCCTGTACCCCAGCTATTGTATGCATAAATAAATACTTTTTAAAAAAGAGGTAAATATTATATAGCAAAATATTTTGCTCCTTTTATCTGGATGCATAGTATGTCACCATATAAATGTGCTGCCACTTATTACCCCAGAGACCTATAGAGGAGTATGCCGGATGAGCCCAATCCTTTTTTATATTATACAGAGCACTGCAATTAACTCCTGTGTACATACATCCTCTTGTGCTTGTGTGCATACTGAATAAATCCCTACAAGTGGCACATCTGAGTCACAGGGCCTATGGATTTGATTTTGAGATACATGAAGTTGACTTCGGTGCCTTCTAGGAGGCTGTAGGTTTCCCCAGTCACAGGCACTCTGTGTATTTGCTGGCTGTGCTATCTCCATGCCTTTCAGGAGTAACCCAGAAACGCAGTTTCATGCTAGGGGGATGTGCAGAAGGGTGCAGTGCAGTTTCTTAGCCTCCCACTTGGGTTTAGTGCCAGATCCCCAGTGCCCAATGTTGAATTCTCTAAATTCACCCTGGAGGCTGGTGGAATCCTTTCTTAGACCAACACCTGTTCAGCCTAGCCTTTCCCTTTCTAATTCATTTCTTTCTCACTGAGACAAACAATAATAAAAACCCTCAAATTTATTTAAAAGTTAACTTTATATCCAAAAACAGCATAAATGGCAAATCACTATGCCTTGCCATAAAAAATAACCATCATATATATTTTTAAAAATTTATTTATTTTATGCATACAAGAACTGGGTACAGGGCAGAGGTGTGGAGGATGAGAGGATTCACCAGAGACAGAGTGGGGAAACAACAGGCAGATTGACTGAAATACACTGCTGAGGGGAGCAGACAGTGAGTCAGGAGAGGTCTGCTGCACCATATGGGTAGCTCCCTGGCTGGCAGGGGGATCGAACTCATGCTGCAGTGGCTGTGGCTAGCTTCATAGCTTGCGTCTTAACCCCTTGCGCCACCAGGGAGGCCCAGTAACCATCACATTTACTGGCGCTAGCATTCACATTTAGTCCCCACCATAAACTAGTGGGTAGGGGCTATTATTTTTATCATTGCACAGGTAGGAAATTGAAGCACAGGGAGGTTAAGTTACCCGCCCACCGGTTCAGAGATAGAGAGTGACAGAGCCCGAAGTCCAAGCCCCGCAGGCGAGCTGCACACGACTCTAGATCTCAAGTAACTAAAAAACCCACTTAAGTAGATTATTGTAGCAGCATCCTGAGAGAGCTGGGCCATCAAGCATTAATTGGAGGAGGTTAGGTCGTAGAAAGTAGCCCCGCGCTGACAAGATTAAATCGAATGGATGGAAGGGACAGAGAGGAGGGGGGCCGGGCCTGGCCCTAAGCTCTCCTCGGATGCCCCATTCTTGCTCATGGGCGCAGGGCACCTGAGGGAAGGGCGGGGAATCGCGGCTCCTTCCCTGCCGCACCCTCTCCTTTCTCTGCCCGCCTCCTTGCTCGGCGTCCCCGATTCTACAACTGAGACCCCGCAGGCTGCGCGGTCCGGTAGCCTGCGTCCCCCGAGACTTAGCGCTCCCGGGTATCCTGCAGCGAAGGTTTCGCTGGAGCCGACTCCGGCCCGGCTGCAGCCCCTCCGGTTTCCCGGAAGCGAGGCGCGCGGGTGGCACTACATCCCCCGGAGTCGCCGCCCGGCCGCTGGCATCCCCACCCTGCAAGCGAGAGCCACCGAGGTTACAGCGGGCCGAGGTGAGCGCGCTGGCGGACAAGGGTGTCCATGATTCTGGGTGCAAACAAGGGGACACGAGGCCTCGAACCCGGGCCTCTGATTCCTGGCGGCTCCGACCATGAGGCTGGGTACGCCGAGGGCTGAGATCCCTGGTTCCGCTGCGCCGCCAAGACCCGCGCTGTGGTCGCTGCGCTGGGACCGCGTGGCCTGGCGACAGCTGGATGGGGGGCAGGGAGCAGCCCCTCTCCGGTCCCGGCCGCCTGAGGCCCGGGCCGCGGGGACTTTTATTCTGACACGGCCTGCGCCCGGCTCTGCTTAGTCATGGTGACCTGCGCGCTCCGCGCCTCCCCCCGCGCGCGGCGATGGAGGCTCCCGGGCCTGGGCGACGGAGGCGGAGCCCGAGCACAGCCATGGCGGGGTGAGTGAGGCGGCCTGCGCTGGGGCTGCGGGCACGGTGGGCCATTGGCGCCCCGGCGGCCGTGCCCTGGGGCTGGGGAGCGGGGCGCCGCAGGCCCAGTCGCTTCGGGATTCCCGCGGCCCAGCTGAGGGCCAGGAGGGCGCGGCTCGGGTCCGGTCCTTTTGTTGGACGGCGCGACTCACAGGGTGGCCCGGGAGCAACAGGAGCCAGGAGAGAGGCCCAGGGAGCGCCGCTCGGTTTGACGAAGGACGGGGGATCCCGGGACTTTGGGGAGTTTGGTCTGCGCTGTGGGGTTGGCTGCTGAGAGACCGTGACGGGGCCACTTCCTCCCTTCTCCAGGCCTGGCTGGCTGCTCTGGCGAGGCATGCGCAGTCTCCCACTTGTCGACTCATGGGGGAAGTGCCCAGTGCCCAGGGGGCACCGTTGACCAAACGGCTGAAGACTGAGAGGCCTCTCCCCGGGGCCTCAGCTGGGGAGAGACGGCCAAAGGCGCCCTGTGGCCGGTGGGGGAGGGTGCTCTGGCAGACACCGCAGAATGGGCAGTCAGCCAGCCACACTTTTACTGACCCCTGCTCAGTGCCAGGCCCCAGGCGGGACATGGGGGAAGCACATGAAAGTGTGGGCACAGCCCTGATCTCGCATGGGGCTGCCTGCACGCTGAAGTGTTGGGGTGGGGCTGAGGTCCAGAGGGAAGCCTGCTCCTCAACAAGAAAGCAGAAAATCTGTTCAGCTCCTGACAAGTACAATGATGAAAATAAAACAGGGAGATGATTCTGCGCTGAGCCCCTGGAATGCTAAATGAAGAAACTGAAGAACCTCTTACAGACCCCACCCTCCACACACACTTCTCCCTGCAGGACCTTTCAAAAACACCTCATGCCCTGGCCTTCCAATTTTCATGGTTTTCATGGAAACTCTGTTCTCTGTAGTAATCATCTTCCATTATACTCTTTCCTGATTGTCAAGATTCTCTCATTCTGCCTCTGAGCGTTTGCACTTGCTGTTCCCTTTGCATGAAAAACTAATCCCTACACCCCACACCCATTCATATGTTCTTCCTTCTTTCTCAGCTTCTACGGAAGCCTAGACCACCTTATTTAAAGTAATGTCACATTGTCATGATGCTGCTGCCATTTTCTTCATGACCCTCTTTTCTGCTCAAGTCTTGCTTCGTTTATTTCTGGTCCTTCCCTCCCCAACTAACAGCTACCGGAGGGTAGTTTTTGTCTCTTGCTCACCGGTGCCTAGAACAGGGCCTGGCATGCAGTGAATGTGCGATAAATGTTGGTGGGGTGAATGAAGGAATGAACTTGACATGTTCTATGGCGGGAAGGGCCACTCGATGGATAGCTGAAACAGTGAGCAAAGGGGAGAGGTAGACAGCAGCTATCTGAAGAGGGTCTTGCAAGTCATTGAAGAGTTGAGCTGTATGCTTTATGCCATTGGGAGTTGGGGGGATTCTGAGCAGAGAAGGGATATCATGTAATCAATGTTTTAAGATGGATCCTTGGGCTGTGGAGGCCACGGAGCAGTTAGCAAGAGCAGATGGATGCTGCTTCACCCTGGGCTTGGGATGGAAAACTGATCTAAGATTTGCTTTATCTTAAAAGAGAAGATCTGGCCTCAGGCCCTAGCCCTGTGCTCTCCCTCCTCCAGGCCCCTGAGTGTCAGTGGTGGTGTTGTGCCTTGTCACCTGGAACTCCATGCAGCCAGAATCCAGGCCTAGCGGGGCTGGGGCCCACAACCAATTTCTGCCCCTGCAATCACAGCGCCCGGAGGGGGCAGGGGACGCAGTGATGTACGCTTCTACCGAGTGCAAGGCTGAGGTGACACCCTCTCAGCATGGCAACCGCACCTTCAGCTACACTCTGGAGGACCACACCAAGCAGGCCTTCGGCATCATGAATGAGCTACGACTCAGCCAGCAGCTGTGTGATGTTACGCTGCAGGTCAAGTATGAGGATGCACCAGCTGCCCAGTTCATGGCCCACAAGGTGGTGCTGGCCTCATCCAGCCCTGTTTTCAAGGCCATGTTCACCAATGGACTGCGGGAGCAGGGAATGGAGGTGGTGTCTATTGAGGGCATCCACCCCAAAGTCATGGAGCGTCTCATTGAGTTTGCCTACACAGCCTCCATCTCCATGGGTGAGAAGTGCGTACTCCATGTCATGAATGGTGCAGTCATGTACCAGATCGACAGCGTGGTTCGTGCCTGCAGTGACTTCCTGGTGCAGCAACTGGACCCGAGCAATGCCATCGGCATCGCCAACTTTGCTGAGCAGATTGGCTGTGCCGAGCTCCACCAGCGTGCCCGCGAGTATATCTACATGCACTTTGGGGAGGTGAGCGAGCAAGAGGGGACCTGGAACCAGGGTTTGGGGGTGGTATCAGAAGGACCAGGGAAAGATGAGTGCTCATCACCTATCTCCTGGGAAGCTGGAAAAATGGGGTTCTGAGCTTCTATTCTGCACATCAGGGGCAATGCTGGGAAGTGGCCAAGGAAAGTAAGGGCTTCATGGGTCTTTAAGAACAAGGGTAGGGACAGGGTGTAGTGAACTTGAGAGCAGCTCTGCCCTGGGGTGCACTGAGCTGAGCCCAACATTTCAGGCAGTCAGCAAATACTCATCGCACACATGTGACATGCTGTCGACTATAAATGTGATCCTTAGATATGTTTTCTTTGGTGCACGCAGTGCTGTCCTTACCCTTGGTTTCATTTTCACTTTTAAGTGGAGGAAGTTTTTCGGCATAACAGAAGGGTAACAGAAAATAACAGAAGGGTTCTTGAAAAATCCAATGATGAGTCTGAATTCTTAGGTGGGTGCCATTGGTGGTGACACATGAGATGAATAATAAGTGTTGGGCATTTGCTGTGGGACAGCACCTTTTCTAAATGATTTCCATCTTTTAAATTATTGAATTTAAAAGCTATTCTAGGATTTAGTACCATCCTTGAAGAGCCCCATGCTTTGAAGTGCCTTCCTAGAAATTTTCAGTCTGGCTCCAGTGACTAGCACTCCCTCGGTGGACACTACTCTTGTCTCCATTCCTTATTGTGACAATAGTCCTAGGGCTTTTTTTTTTTTTTTAAAGATTTTTATTTATGCATACATGCAGGAACTGGGGTACAGGCCAGAGGTGCGGGTGGTGAGAGGATTCACCAGAGACAGTGTGGGGAACAGAACAGGCAGATCGACTGAAATAAACTGTTGAGGGGAGCAGCAGGTGAGTCTGCTGCGCCATGTGGGTACCTCCTGGTTGGCCAGGGATCGAACTCTAGCTGCAGAGGCTGGGGATAGCTTCATGGTGCTGTGCTTGCGCCACCAGGGAGGCACAGGGCCTATGGCTTCTAAGAAGTGGTCCAGAAAATAGGGCTCATCCACTGGCCTATACAATGTTTCTTTCCTGGAATTGTGTGGGGTCGGTGGGGGGTGTCTCAGATTGGTGGTGAACTGTGCTGATTGTAGAAGAACCAAAATTATTTATGTAGATCAGTATTGGACAAGAAATATTTCCCCAGGGACCCTTTATGCCCTAGAAGTAGTTCTGATGTGTCATACAATCCCCTTTTACAGAGGAGGAAGACCAAGGCACAGAGGATTTCAAATATTTGCCCAAGGTCACATGGTTAGAAATTTGTGGGCCAAAACTGCAGCTCAGGCTGCTTTCTTCAGTGCCTGTACTTTTTGCCTTGCTTTACTTTTTTTTTTTAAAGATTTATTTATTTATGCATACAAGAGCTGGGGTACAGGCCAGAGGCGCGGGGGGTGAGAGGTTTCACCAGAGACAGAGTGAGGAACAGAACAGGCAGATTGACCAAACTACACTGCTGAGGGCGAGTCAGGAGAGGTCTGCTGCACCATGTGGGTTGCTCCTTGGCTGGCAAGTAATTTCATTAAAAAATTAGGTAATGTTGGGCCTCCCCGGTGGCGCAGCGGTTGAGCACTGGGTTGTGAAGCTGCCCGCAGCCTCTGCAGCGCCAGTTCGATCCCCGGCCACCGGCGAGGGTCCCACATGGCGCGCAGACCTCTCCTGCCGCGCCCATTGCACCCCTCAGCAGTGTACTTCTGTCCTTCTGCCTGTTCTTCTCCCCGCTCTGGCTCTGGTGAATTCTCTTACCCTCCCACGCTTCTGACTGTACCCAGTGCTTATATTTAAAAAAAAAAAAAAAAAAAACAGAAACCATTTAAAAAATAATAAAGTTGTAAAAAAAAAAATTAGGTAATGTTATAAAAACATTTTTTGATACAAATGTCACTTTTTTAAAAAAGATTTATTTAGGGGCCTCCCCGGTGGCGCAGCAGTTGAGCGCTGGGTTGCGAAGCTGCCTGCAGCCTCTGCAGCGCCGGTTCGATCCCCGGCTGCTCCCCGGCCACCAGAGGAGGGTCCCACATAGCGCGCAGACCTCTCCTGCCGCCTGCTGCTCCCCTCAGCAGTGTACTTCGGTCCTTCTGCCTGCTCTGCTCCCCACTCTGGTTCTGGTGAATTCTCTCACCCTCCCGCACTTCTGACTGTACCCAGTGCTTGTATGTATGTATCAATCAATCAATCAATAAATAAATCTTAAAAAAAAAAGATTTATGCATAGAAGAAGGGGGTTACAGGCCAGAGATGCAGGGGGGTGAGAGGATTCACCAGAGACAGAGTGGGGAATAGAACAAGCAGATTGGTTGAAATACACTGCTGAGGGGAGCAGCAGGTTAGTCAGGAGAGGTCTGCTGCGCCATGTGGGTAGCTCTTTGGCCAGGGATCGAACTTGTGCTGCAGTGGCTGTGGATAGCTTCATAGATTGCACCACCAGGGAAGCCCATAAACGTCACTTTTTACCTGGCATGTGGTATTAATTCATTTAATCATCACAACCTATGAAGCTTATACTATTTGAATCCCCATTTTACATATGAGGAAACTGTGGAGTGATATCGTTGATACCACTGAGGGTGGAGGGAAGACACATGGGAGTGTGCCCATCCTGCTAATTCTGTCTACAGGTAGCCAAGCAAGAGGAGTTCTTCAACCTGTCCCACTGCCAGCTGGTAACCCTCATTAGCCGGGATGATCTGAATGTGCGCTGCGAGTCTGAGGTCTTCCATGCTTGTATCAACTGGGTCAAGTATGACTGTGAGCAGCGGCGCTTCTACGTGCAGGCACTGCTGCGGGCTGTGCGCTGCCATTCGCTCACGCCCCACTTCCTTCAAATGCAGCTGCAGAAGTGTGAGATCCTGCAATCGGACTCCCGCTGCAAGGACTACCTGGTCAAGATCTTCCAGGAGCTCACTCTGCATAAGCCCACACAGGTGATGCCCTGCCGGGCGCCCAAGGTGGGCCGGCTCATCTACACAGCTGGTGGCTACTTCCGTCAGTCCCTTAGCTACCTGGAGGCCTACAACCCCAGTGATGGCACGTGGCTCCGGTTGGCAGACCTGCAGGTGCCCCGTAGTGGCCTGGCAGGCTGCGTGGTGGGAGGGCTGCTCTATGCTGTGGGCGGCAGGAACAACTCCCCTGATGGCAACACCGACTCCAGCGCCCTGGACTGCTACAACCCCATGACCAACCAGTGGTCACCCTGCGCCCCCATGAGTGTACCGCGCAATCGAATTGGGGTTGGGGTCATTGATGGACACATCTATGCCGTGGGCGGCTCCCATGGCTGCATCCACCACAACAGTGTGGAGAGGTAAGTGGCAGGGCCAGGAGGGTGGACTCCCAGGCTCCCACTGCAAACAGCTCTCATGCCATTGGATCTTGGGAGTCCCCTTGCTGTTGAGTGCTTGTCTCTGCATCCCGCCTTCAAAGAGTAGAAACTTTAAGTCCAAGCAAAACTACCTCAGGTGATGTGTCTGGGCCTGGGAACTGCTTACAGGGCTGTCATAAACCCACACAGCAACTTTGTGATGATCTGGAAGAAGTTCCATCCTTTTGAGATTGCTGCAATGTGCTAATTTTGTTAAAACATAGTACCTCACTGCTATCTGCCCCTATATTGTATTAAACAGGGTATGTGAGGTCACTTATGTGGACAGTGCCTCAAGTGTGGTGCCTTTGTGCAGTACACATCAGTGCCTGGGGAGCCTGTTATAGAGGCCAAGTATTTTGGATATTTGGCTCCTGTGTAGCCTGGTCCTTTGCTTCTCCTTTTCCAGAAGTGTGATCCAGGATACAGTTGTCATGGAACTTGTTGAACTCCCCAGCCCTCCTCTGGAAATTCCAGAGATCTGGCATTGATGGGTTTGTGGTGAGGTTGGGAAATGGGAATTTTAAACAAATAACTCAAAGACCTCTAATGTACATGGTCTGTGAATAAGACCATGGGATGGCACTGTACCCTTGGCAGGCCATTTTTGAGGAAAAAAAAAAAAAAAGCACACTATTAATTATCCCAGGAGTGCAGGTGTGAACTGGCAGTGTCCAGTGCTCAGGCCAACTGGGACATGGTATGGTCATCCATCTTTGAGCATCACACTTTGATGCTCACTTGAGAAAACTGTTTCTGGGACATCACTTGATTGTTAGAATTGGGGTTCTGGGCACTTACAGGGCTGGCACAGACCCTAGCTCTGCCACTCCTTGATGCCACTTTACCTCTCTGTGCCTCCATCTTGTCATCTGTGAAGTGGTGGGTGATAATGAGGATACCCTGACCCAACAGGCTGGGTTGATCTTGGTGACAACACAAATAACAGCCCAGGGCCTGGCAGAGGTGTGATTTAGGCACCAGGGTCCAGCAGGTGTGCATGTGACCTTGAGCAGATGACAGCTGCAAACCTCAGTTTCCATCTGGAAAATGGAACTACTCATGGCTTGTTCCTTGGAGAATGGTTGTGAGGACTAAAGATCAAATGTACAAAGAGCTAGCAGAGTATTGGGCTATAGTCAGTGTTCCACACAAGTCGGTGATGATCGCTATTGTCATTGTTATTATGATCCTACAGGTATGAGCCAGAGCGGGACGAGTGGCACTTGGTGGCCCCAATGCTGACGAGAAGGATTGGGGTGGGAGTAGCTGTCCTCAACCGTCTGCTCTATGCTGTCGGGGGCTTCGATGGGACAAACCGCCTCAACTCAGCCGAGTGTTACTACCCAGAGAGGAACGAGTGGCGAATGATCACACCCATGAAAACCATCCGGAGTGGGGCAGGTGGGCAGGGTCTGTGGGGAGGGGAGCCTGAAGGAACACCCTCCACCCTGGGGCAAAATCTAGCCAGGCCTAAGTGCGGCTTCCGTTTCAACTTTGAATCCCGTGGGCCCACAGAGGGCTAGATTCTGACAGATTCCAAGCTTCTGTCCCCCAGCTTTGTTTCTTTTTCTTTTTTTAATTTAAAAGGCAGGTTTAGGGCCTCCCTGGTGGCGCAGCGGTTGAGCGCTGGGCTGCAAAGCTGCCCGCAGCCGCTGCAGCGCCGGTTCAATCCCGGCCACCGGTTCAATCCCCAGCCGCTGGTGAGGGTCCCACGTGGCACACTGACCTCTCCTGCTGCGCCTGCTGCTCCCCTCAGTAGATTCTTTCGTCTGTCTGCCTGCGATGCTCCCCGCTCTGACTGGTGGATTCTCTCAGCCTCCCGCTCCTCTGACTGTGCCCGGGGCTTGTATAAGTAAATAAATAAATAAATAATTCTTTTAAAAAAAAAAAAAAGGCAGGTTTATTAGGGAAGGGATAAAACAGTAAAAGACACTTGAATAGACAAGCGGGCAGGAAGAACTGCCCCAGAAGGGACAGGTTTGCTGAGAGAGGCCTGCATGGTCGCAGGCGGGCGGCCTTAAGGAGAGCGGCCTCCACTGAGGGAGGTCAGTTAGGAGAAGTCCTGGCATGGTACAGGTCACTGGCAGACAGGTGGCTGCTGCCCTGTGGAGGGAGAGAGTTGGTGAAAAGAGGCACCTGCACAGTCACAGGTGGGCAGACGGATTGCTGCTCCCAGCTTTGTTTCTGAAGGGTCTCTCAGGAGAGGAGTGAGGGGAGGGCCCCCCAAGAAGGTGGTGACTGGGGCCAGGCCCTGGAGCAGTCACCTTCTCTACATGGTGTGCTCTAGGAGTCTGTGTCCTGCACAACTGTATCTACGCTGCTGGGGGCTATGATGGGCAGGACCAGCTAAACAGTGTGGAGCGATACGACGTGGAGACGGAAATGTGGACTTTCGTAGCCCCCATGAAGCATCGGCGAAGTGCCCTAGGCATTACTGTGCACCAGGGGAGAATCTACGTCCTTGGTGAGGCCCCGGGGATGGGTACCTGGGTGGACAGGACTAATGCTCCAATCCTGGCCGGAAGGCTCCTCGAGGCTTCTTCCTCCTCTTTCTTACCCTGTCCTCGGAGGGAGTGACCTTGCCCTCCGCTCTCCCTGCAGGAGGCTACGATGGCCACACGTTCCTGGACAGTGTGGAGTGCTATGACCCAGACACGGACACCTGGAGTGAGGTCACCAGCATGACATCCGGCCGGAGCGGGGTGGGTGTTGCTGTCACCATGGAACCCTGCCGGAAGCAGATTGACCAGCAGAACTGCACTTGTTGAGCCACTTTTGTTTCTTGAGCAAAAATACGGTCCGATGGAGAGTATTGTCATTTTTGTACAAAAAACAGGACAAAAACAAAGGACACAGAGCAAGTGCTTGTGCTCTAGTAAGAGGCCAGGACGCCTCAGTGCTAAATGACAACTCGGAAGAAAAGAAGGCCAAAATGGGAGCCCATGAAGAGAAGACCCAGAGAACTGCTTGGGAGGGGGTGCGGAAAGGAGAAAGTCCCCCACCTGCTATGCCGAGACTAGGACTGGGTCCCACAACAGCAGCCACTGCCTCCCTTTGGGGTGAAAGCAGGTGCTGACATCAGGTATCTCTGTGATTGGATCCTGGAGGGCTGGGAAGGGGCCATCAGAGGCCCTTCTGGAGATGTAGACCCTAGGAATGGGCCTGTACATAGAAACCACTGGATATCTCTGCCCTGAACAGCCATTTTGTTGATAAACAACCTTGTAACTTTGCAATGAAAATAAAAAACAAACTAACTAATGTCTTCCACCTAGGCTTTCAGCTGGAGGTCTTGAACCCAGGGACAGAAAGGACTCTTCTGAAATGCTTTCAAATTTTTGCTTTAGTTAGACTTGTATCTGAAACCAGTTAACTCTGCATCTGGATATGTAGGGCATCTTTTTCCCCATAGACCCAGCCACACAGGGCTCACTTTGTCAGTTTCATCTGCTTCAAAGACAATGACCTATCTCTTTTGACATCTTTCCTCGGACTCCCTGAGATTAATTTCATATATGTATACTGATATTTGAAGGCAAACCATCTCTGACATGGCTTTCATATTCAGAGCAAATCTATCTGGCCATTTTTATGTGCTACTATAATACGGACTGAGCCTTTTATTTAGGTCACTGGGTATTAAAGGACAAAGGGCTTCTTGGGAATCTTCTTAGGCAAAAGACCTAAAGAATTTGTACAAAGGCAATATACTGCCCAGATTAGTCTCATCAGTCAACTCTTCTGCTGGGGGGGTGGGCAGATGAAAAAGGAAAGAAGTAAGGTCCCAGCTATAGGGGATTTCACAGATTCACTCGCTTCTGGGGAAAACCTGATGCCCCCTTCTGTGCAACTTCCCTTAATCCACCTGGAGGCTGCCCTAGCTACTTGTTCTGGTCCTCATCCTAAGGATTTTAAGGAACAAGAAAATAGATTGAGGTTGGCTACATTACTTAGTGGGGGAGGACTAGGAATTGTAAATATCTGGATAATCTTTTAGCATTTGTAGAGTGTTTCTACATATTTCCACTTGTTTATCAGTAGGACTGTGAGCTCAAAAGGACAATCCTGAATTATTTACAGATGAGAAGCAAAGGTTCAGAGGAAGTGACTCGTCCACGGTCACATGACCACTGAGTGGGGGAGTTTGGATTCCACCCCACAGCAGCTGTTCTCACTCCGCCATTGCTTTTGTGAGAAAGGATATCAGAGGTGGGGGAGGGGGAGAAGAAAGGGGTATTAATGTGTGTATCAGTGAAAGTTCCAGAAACATCAATCTAATTTAGAGTCCACAGAATTTATGTGTAGAGTGTTTGCCAGGAGCCACGCAGCCTAAGTCAAAGTGGTGCTTGAGCCCTGGTCTTGTCAAGGGTTCAGAGTGGTTGGAGTCCTATTCTTGTCAGGTTTAGTTGATTCAGTACAAATAGGTCAGGTGAACAGTTTCTTAGCTGCAAAAATGGTGCTTGGTTACCTGCTGGGTGCTGGGCCCTGTGTGAGCTCCTGAACCAACAAAGGTAAGTATATTCATTTTCTGACTCCACGATAACTTCTTGCTAGTCCTTGCTGTGCTAGGATTCGGGTTATGACAATGAATAAGCCCCAAATGATCTCTGCCTTCATTGAGAGTACAACCTAGCAGAGGGACTAGGGTGACCAATTCATCCTGGTTTAATTTGCCCGGGACTTGGGCCTCCCTGGTGGTGCAAGGGGTTAAGTCTCAGCACTATGAAGCTATTGGCAGCCAGCCGGCTAACCACATGATACGGCAGACTTCCCAGTCTTGCCCTCTGCTCCCCTCAGCAGTGTATTTTAGATCTGCATGTTCTGCTCCCCACTCTCTCTGGTGAATCCTCTCAGCCCCATACCTCTGGCTTACACCCTGGTTCTTGTATGCATAAATACATAAATCTTTTAAAAAAATAATTTACCTGGGACTTTTCCAGTTTGAATACTGAGAGGCTGGTATCCAAGAGGGACTCCTTTGTCCCAGGTAATCTGGGGCCATTAGTCACTCTACTGGTAAGCATGATGCTGCAGCAATGTTACACTGTGCTGAGTGGCAGGCAGGTGAGGGTCACACAATTGGTAGTCGGGGCTGTAGATGCTAGGTGGCAATTGCTTGACTAGGCAATGAGAGTAGGTGGGGGAGGGTCCAATGAAAGGCTGGAGCAGTAGGCAAGTGAGAGAGGATACCAGTTCAGATTACGTAGGTGGCTATGAGACTGGAAAACAGCTACAGCTACAGCTAAAGAGACAGGTGATTAGATAGGAAGGATGAATAATTAAAAATGAAGCTGTGGGTGGTTTCAGAGCTTCAACAGCCAGAACAGGGAGTTCCAGAGGAATCTGATGTTATCAATGGGCAGTGATGATGATTTAGAATATGTTAGGTTTGAGGCTTCAAAACAACTATTTTAGGAAAGTGCATAAAGTTATAGCCGTCAGTCTTTAATGCTTCAAGAAATATTTCTTGAATGTCCCATGCCAGATATGAGGTGGGGTGTTCAGACAAAACAAGGAGCAAGCTTGACCTATGTCAGAGCCCCAAGAAAACATTCTTGAGTAACTGATCTTCCCATGAACATCCAAAGGAATTAAGTGTAAACTAGGTGAGGGTAGACGAGACAAAAATTGGCAGAGGAAGCATCATGTATAAAGGCCCTGTGGCACTGGAAAGCAAGTCTGGATGAAACTGAGGGAGGAGGAACATTGTATCAGAAGAGGCTAAACCAAGAGGTTATCAGGGGCCCAGGCCATGTAAGCCCTGTGGGCCACACTCATTTCTTTGTTAACTACCTAAATATAATCTTTTATAAAAATAGAACTTACAGAGAAAATTCAATTCTACTGTGCACTTCAGTCCCCTCTTACTGATACAAAAAATATATGTATATATATATATATATATATATATATATGCAACAATGGTCTATGTATAAATGAAATAATGTTGCCTATATTCTGCAATTTTACTTTCCCCTTCAGGACTTTCATGTTGTTTTACCTCTTCCACTGTTGACAGATGTTTGGATGGTTTCCAATTTTGCTGAATTACAGATAAGACTGCCATGTGCACTCTAATTGTCCTCTTGAGCACACGTATGTATATTTCTCCAGGAGAACTTACCAAATCTTATAGGATAGGCACAGCTTTACTGAATACTGCCAAATCTCCAAGTGGTTATAACAAATCTTATTGCGCTGTTTTCTTAGAGTTCTGTATAGATCTACACTCAATCAAATTCATCGCTCTTCTTGGTGGTTCTTCCTTTTTGCATCATATTTAAGATGGACTTTATGTTCTTGCTCCATCCTCTGCATCCTGCTCATTTGTTAAGTTATTTTCTCCTGACCATAAATTGTTCCTATCTAAGTTAACTAGAGTTAGTACTTGATGGTTCTGTCAGAATCAAGAATCCAGACTAATAGAGACATCAAGAAATTTAAAAACATAGTTTTTAAAGGTTTATTTATTTATGCATGCAAGAGGTGGGGTATAGACCAGAGGTGCAGAGAAAGGGGTGAGAGGATTCACCAGAGACAGAGCGAGGAGCAGAACAGGCAGATCTCCTAAAATACCCTGCTGAGGGGAGCAGTGGGCAAGACAGGAGAGGTCTGCTGTGCCATGTGGGTAGCTTCCTGCCCGGGGATCGAACTTGTGCTGAAGTGGCTGGCAACAGCTTGATAGTGTGTCTTTAACCCCTGTGCCAGCAGGGATGCCCCAATTTTTATTTTTTTATTTTTATTTTTAAAATACTTATTTATGCATACAAGAATGGGGGTACAGGCTAGAGATGCAGGCAGTGAGAGGATCCACCAGAGACAGAGTAGGGAACAGAACAGGTAGATTGACTGAAATACACTGCTGAGGGGAGCAGCAGGTGAGTCAGGAGAGGTCTGCTGCGCCATGTGTGTTGCTCCCTGGCCAGGGATGGAACTCATGCTGCAGTGGCTGAGGTTAGCTTCATAGATTGCATCTTAACCCCGTGCGCCACCAGGGAGGACTGGCCCCAATTTTTAAAAATATTTTTCTTTAAATATGTTTAAGTATTGTTTTTTAAAATATTTATTTATTTATGCATACAAGAGCTGGGGTACAGGCCAGAGGTGTGGGGGGGGGGGTGAGAAGATTCACCAGAGACAGAGTGGGGAACAGAACAGGCAGATTGACTGAAGTACACTGCTGAGGGGAGTAGCGGGTGAGTCAGGAGAGGCTGTCCCGCCATGTGGGTTTCTCCCTTGCTGGCAGGGGGATCGAACTTGTGCTGCAGAGACTGTGGACAGCTTCAAAGGTTTGCATCTTAACCCCTTGCACCACTAGGGATGCCCTAAAGTATTGTTTTTGCACTATTTTTAAGTCCATTTGGAATTTGTTGGTATATGTGGTATGAGATAGGAATTTAATTTTTATGTGAGTAACTCATTGCTGCCCAATTATTTTTCAAGCCATTTCTTTTTTCTTTTTAATTTTTTTAATTTTACATATTTTATATCATTTTTCATTTTTGTACAATGTATGCATTTTCATCTTGGGTATAGTCTCCATAAAATTCCCACCACCCTTGTTTTGATCCTACTCCCTTCTCCCCGCCTGTAGTGTGTCTCTAGTTTATAGTTAGTTGCCTGTTGATTTTGATTTTTACTTTATTATAATTAGTCTTTTTCCTGATCCCTTATTTGGGTTTTCTAAATTCCTGCTATGAGTGAGACCATCCAGTATTTTTCTTTTTCCTTCTGGTTTCTTTCTTTCTTTCTTTCTTTCTTTCTTTCTTTCTTTCTTTCTTTCTTTCTTTCTTTCTTTCTTTCTTTCTTTCTTTCTTTCTTTCTTTCTTTCTTTCTTTCTTTCTTTCTTTCTAAGATTTCTTCATTTATTCATACAAGAACTGGGGTACAGGTCAGAGGTGTGGGGGTTGAGAGGATTCACCAGAGACAGAGTGGGGAACAGAACAGGCGGAAATACACTGAAATACTGAAATACAGTGACTGAAATACACTGCTGAGGGGAGCAGTGGGTGAGTCAGGAGAGGTCCGCTGTGCCATGTGGGTAGCTCCCTGGCGGAGGATCAAACTCGTGCTACAATGGCTGCTGATAGCTTCATAAGTTGCATCTTAACCCTTTGTGCCACCAGGGGGGGCCTCTATTTTTTGAAGTCTTCTTTGCTGTCCTCAAGAAAGCTTTATAATTTCTCCACAAGAGGCTTTGCATATTCTAAATCATGGGAGATTCTAGGTGTTGTTACTATCGGTATTTTGGGTATTCAACTTAAATTCATATTTTGGGCATATGGGAAAGTTGTTGATATATTTTGATCTTCCACCAACCATTGTTTTCCTAA